TCCAAGAAGAGTTCATCAGAAAAATGGCTTCCAATCTACCCAATAAATTAGTGCCACATTAACCTAGCAGAAAGCAGATCTGTAAGTCAACTAAGTACTTAATACTAATTTTTTTTTTTAAAGTTTACTTATTTACTTTGAAGAGAGTGAATGAGCAGGGGAAGGGCAGAGAGAGACCAAATCCCAAGTAGGCTCTGTGCCATCAGTGAGGACTCCTATGCAGGGCTCAAACCCATGAACCATGATGAGATCATGACCTGAGCTGAGATCAAGTCGGATACTGAACCGACTGAGCCACCCAGGCGCCCCTCAACTCAATTTTTAAAACACTGGAGTACAATCTGATACAATGAAAACAAAGACTGATATACTTATTTTTATAAAATTAGGAAACCCAGGCTTAAAAATGACAATTGAGGGGCGCCTGGGTGGCCAACTTTGGCTGAGGTCATGATCTCATGGTTCATGGGTTGGAGCCCTGCATCGGGCTCTGTGCTGACAGCTCAAAGCCTGGAGCCTGCTTCAGATCCTGTATCTCCCTCTCTCTCTGACCCTTCCCTGCTCACACTGTCTCTCTCAAAAATAAATAAAACATTTTAAAAAATGACAACTGAATTTTTCAGGTACACTGAAACTGGAAATAGCAGTGTTAAAATCCCGGTCTTCTGTCAATTTCAGTAATTCCATCTCACCAGCTGAAGACTTTGATATTCAGTGCCCACCCTCTGTTGCCTCCAGACTGATCTGATGATCTGGCAGCAACTTACCTTCCTCACCACTTCCAAAGTGGATCCCTTCCAATATTTATTGGGGTTCTCCAACTTATCTATTCTTTACCTTCCTTTTCTTTGCATTTCCGTAAGTCGAAATGTTTCCCCGTCCATTAAAACCCGGTTTAAATGATGGTGTGTCCCTGAAAATATACCCTGCCTGCACCTACTCTTGCCACCTTTACTCCATTAGTAATTCTCCATCCTTTGAAAGCTCCTACTTATTTACAGCTATGACACTTAAAATCTTACCTTATAAACTTGTGTATTGTTTTCTCCTCTACTTGATTAAGCTCTTCAAAGAAAAAGACTCACCCCATCAGTCTTCCTTAACTAAGCAAAGTACTTTGCCTATGATAAGTACATCATAAGGGAAAGGAAAACACACACACAATTACTGCACAACTACGCAAGATAAAAGAAAAAAAAGGATTAAGCTGAGGAAAGCTCTCTAGACTTAGGAGTTCCCAATCCTAGAGGGCAATTAGAACCACTTAAGAGAGTTAAAACACATTTTTATTCCAGGGTGTGGCCAAACTCGTGAATCAAATCATTTATGCCAATAACCTACAGAAGTAACAGAGAAACAAATTTTTAAAGCTTCATGCAGTAGCTTAGTGTTCCCTCAGGGATATAACTTAAGATAACTTTCATGTTGACTCATTCAACTATCAATTATATCTTATTGTATTAATCTCCCTTGCATCTCTACATGCTGGATAAAATTTACCTCTCAAATAACCATTTTTTAAAAAAGTTTATTTATTTTAAGAGAAAGAAAGCAAGCACGAGTAGGGGAGGGGCAGAGAGAGGGAGAGAGAAAGAATCCCAACCAGGCTCTGCACTAACAGAGCAGAGCCCAATACAGGGCTCGAACTCAGGAAAAGCGAGATCACAACCTGAGCCAAAACGAAGAGTCAGACACTTAACCGACTGAGCCACCCAGATGACCCTCAAATTATTTTTTAAGGAATGTTCCAGAATAGCAAGATGTTAACACCCCCCCCCCCCACCTATAGCATGCTTTCTGAATGCTTGATAACCTGCAGTGCAGTATTAGTTAGGCATGATAAATCAACTCAGTTTAAATGGACACTTTGACCAAATACACAACTCACGTCAACCTACCTTATTTCAACAGACTTGGCTTCAAATGACTTTTTCAAATCAATTGACTTCAAATGACTATTTCAAAATCAAAGATCAACCTCAGAAAGTTAAGGTATAGTGTTAGAAGCCTTTGACAGCAAATGCTTTAAAGGAGCCAACGGTTTTATGTCCTGGTTATGTACATTAAAAGCCATCACTCTAACATAACTAAAGTGTGAACTAGCAAAATGTTAGGATACTGGAATTTGTTTTTGAAACTCCTACCAAAAAAAGTGTGAAGGTAGATAGGTGAAACAAGAATGACAACGCTACTTAAATGTTCAGGCTGAATGAGGAGTACCCTGGAGTTCATTACAGGTTCCACTTTATAGTATAAATTTTTTATAATCAATTTAAAATTCAGAGTATAAATCTTTTCATAATCAATTTAAAAAGGTGCCACTTTAAAGTTTGCCTCTTGGGGCGCCTGGGTGGCTTAGTCGGTTAAGCGTCCGACTTTCGCTTAGGTCATGATCTCGCGGTTCGCGGGTTTGAGCCCCGCGTCAGGCTCTGTGCTGACTGCCAGCTCAGAGCCTGGAGCCTGTTTCAGTCTGTCACTCCCTCTCTCTCTGACCCTCCCCTTCTCACGCTGTCTCTCTCTCTCTCTCCTAGAAATAAATAAAACATTAAAAATAAATAAATAAATAAATAAAGTTTGCCTCTCAAGTGCCACCGGAGATCAAAAGAAAATAGGCCCTACGTCTCACAGTAACTATTAATACTGCTATGGAATGGTACACTATTCCCGCAGGTAATACAAAGACTAACCCTCTTGTTTCTTAAAACTTTACACCATAATCTATGTCAAAAGGGATTCTCATCAATCCCCTTTTTATGCCCCATTGTCTCTTTTTTTTCAAAACGTCAATTATACTGAACAGATTTTTAAAAAGTCTGCAGTACTTCTAAGGCTGCAAATAATGTTTAATCTAAAAACTGCATCATTCCTACAGAAGTGACACCAAGCACTCTCTTACCTACTATTTCCAAATAAAGTTGTTGAAGGACTTGAGGTATGCGGAGAACTTCCATTTCTAAGCCTAACTTTAACCAAGAGATTACTTTGAACATTTAAAGAAAAGACTAAAGGACCAAGAAAATACAGGTAGCCCTTTTAAAGGATATTCGAATAAACCCAACTGATTATTACCTCCTTTAGAGTTTAAGACAACTTAAAAATAATAAGCCATCCTTCACTTATGAAAAAGATCTTCAGATCTTCAAAAGGTTGTGATTCAAAACAGATTCAAAGAAAAAAATCAGTGACCTCATGAACCCATCCACATTTGGCAGGAATTCAAAGAAACCGCAACTTTGGGACCTAACTGAACTGAACATTATTTGTTGGGGTGGGGGTGGGGGGACGGGCAATCAGTGCCAACTTAATCTCAATAAACAAATATAAAACTCAAATTGATGCACTCAACTAAAGCAAGTTATTTCAGTAATGCCAGCAAAACTAAATGTAATTGTATCCATGGAGGGGCATTTAGCTTATGTAAATACCGCTAATTTCACATCTAGTCTGCCCATCTATAGGGAAAATGCATACAGAATACCTAGAAATAAATAGAAATTAGTTTCTCACTTAAAAAGGCCCACAATTCTCCATACTAAGAATCTATATAAAACCACCAGCCAACTTAAGGGAACCTGTCCCAGACTTTTTCACATGTTGCGGAAGAACATAACCAGGTATCTTCTCAGGTTCACACAATGACCACCAGTACAACGTAACACAGGTAAGGATTTCCCAAGTAATGGTCTCTGGAGGGCAGTCGGCACAGAAAATAACACCAAAACCACCAACTCCCCCAGCAGGATTTAACTTATCATTAACCACAAGTCAAGAAACTAAGCAATTAATTGTTTTGCCTTAACTTTCCTAAAAACATCCATTTCCTGGTCAGTTCAATTACTAACAGCAGTGCTGGAGGAAAAAGCGAGGACAGGTAATTTCATCTGCCAGGATTTTTGCTCCTAAACTGCCATAAGGCAATACTACTACTTACTCCTTTTTAAAGGAAAAAAATAGAAGTACATCTGTTCACTTTACTAAATGTCTTCCACTTTGCAGATAAGCAAAGGTATGCAGAGGAGGTAATTTGCTTAAAAGTCACATAAATAGCTTTGTTACTCATTTCTTCCAGAGAAAATATGGGAATTACCTCATCCCCACTAACTGATATGTTGCCCCTTCCCTACAGTTCCAAGTCACTGCCTAAATGAGCCACTGTTCAAAATGGGAATGTGCAGCATGTATTAGGTATGTCTGCATGCAGGGGGTATAGACTTCTATTCAGGGAAGAGGGAGAGATGAGTGTTCTCAAAAACACTGAGGTTGTAAACATCATTCATTAAGCCTCATTATTTGCTGTAGGGATTTAAATAAGCTACACCGTACAGTAAATCTTTAAGACACAAATAAACCATATTCTAAAAACCGTTTTTGCATTGAACTTGAAAGATATAGGATTCCTTTTTTAACACAGGCTTCAGGGCTATGAAAAGTACAGCCTCCAAGAGCCTGGTTCCTACAATGCTAATTGGGCTTCCCGTTGCAGTCGTCTAAATTATTTTCTAGTTCTCATTCAGCACCCAGAAAAAAAATAGTTTGACACTTACCTTTTTGGACTCCTCCTCAAAAACCTTGCTCCTACTCATTTTACACAAATTAGAAATATCAAGCAAGCTTACTAATAAAGTACATGATATAAAAAGCAAAGCAAGAACATCTGCTCAAAGAAACGTTTTAAAAAGAACTCAAGAGAAAAATATTATGTCCTCCCTTTAGGCACCACCCATCCCTCTTCATTCTTTGAACCAGGTAGGAAGTCAACTATACTTGTATATGTGACAAGAAATCCTTTTAAGTTGAAAAAGTGAACATTGCTTCTAAATAGTACTATTTCCAAAGACCCCGAATAGTTTATCAGCTGCTATCCATGGTTATTCTTAATTTAGTTCCAAAAGTTTTTAAGAATCTCATAGTACTTTCCAAAATTTACCCTTAATACAATAGCTAATAAATATATATTAAAGTGAGCAGTAATAATCTTCATATAGGAACAAATGAGTTACCTTTAGTGTGATATACAATAGCAGCCCTCAGGTCAAAAGAACCCCAGCTATCGTTTCTTTCTAGGCCTCTCTGGTATCTCTGTTCTTTGGCGGAGCCTAACAAAGTGTTCGTAGGAGACGCCAGAGGATTTTGATTTTCTATCTCGTAGTCCTTTGAGAGAAACACTAAAGCACCTTGACTATTGGTGTCTGCTTTCTGCAGGTCACCTATATGACTGGGTTCCAAGGATAAGGCTCCACTCTCATTAGTAGTCCCAGATTTTAGAATGCTACCCAAAACTTGAGGACTAGTCCGTTTTTCCAGCTCATATGCCTTAGGAAACACAGGATGCTCAGTTCCTGAGGGAATTATTTCAGCACCCTGTGAAACCAAAGTGGCAGGATATTCCCCTTGAAATGTCACCTCCATCACTTTATGATCTGATGACTTCCCAATAACAGTCTCAGGGCCAGCACTGGGCTCATTTATAAATGATAAACCCCACTGATTCTGGAAGATATCCCCCAGGTTTTGCTGATCTGTCTGAGAGGGTAGATCCACTTGTGCTGTGCTCAACAGCACAGTTTGCATATTTGAAGGATAGATGAAAAGGCTAGATTTAATTTGTTCAACAGCTGCTGAAGTCAGACTCATGTCCTGGAGAACTGAATCAGTCCCAGAAGAGATGGGTGTTAGAGTATTAGCAGCAGTAGTTAACAGTGGCTGACCCCCTGGAGAATACACACTTGCATCAGTCCCTGCTAAAACAGGCCCATTAGAAAAGCTGGCCGAAGTAACAGATTTCAGCGCTGACATAGGGACCTGGGATAACCGACTTGAAGACTGGGTCTGAGTCTCCCCAGCAGATGACGAAGAGGATGAAGATGAAGATGGCGACACAGAAGAGTTCTGTACAGTTTTGTTGAGGTTTTCCTTAACTTTGCTTGCATAACTTATCTTAGGAACTATTTTAGCGCTGCTATTGTCCACTGGAAAAACTGGGGGTGGTTTAAACAGGGTCCAAGAGTCCTCTTTGGAGGTAACAGCAGAAGCATGCTTTCCTTTGGGCCGGTCATCAAACTTTTTGCCGCTCACACCAGGTTTGATATCAGAGCTTTTCCGCAGCATGTCACCCACAGCAGGTTTTCCTCGATTTGTTCCTCCAGGCCCAGTTTCATACTTCCAAATGGGCTTCGAACTATCTACTCGGTTTCCCTTTTGTTCACTGTAGTCAGGCTTGAAAGTTTCAAGTCCCTGTTTTAAGGTTGGGACACTGGTCTCTTGTTGCATTATTTTGTCCTGCACTAAATTAAGGTTTTCACATCCCTTGGCACTATTGCGCCTAGCTTTCCTTTTTTTTGGAGTGGTATATCCGCTCTCAGATCCACTACCATCATTATCTGCTCCTTTGCCCATATAACCATTAGTAATATAGCCAGAATTATTTGTTACAACACCATTTGGAATTGCTACAGTATCGGTCTTCTCTGCAGACTGGTTCTCTCCAGATTTATTTTCATAAGACTTCCCATTCTTTTTGTCCATACTGTTCTTCTGAATGAAATTCCTGGTTTTAATTCCTGTTTTCCCAAAGGTGCTGGCCTTTACAGTCTGCTTCAGATTAGTGTCTACAATTTGTTGGTTGCCATTGAGGACCCTGGAAATAGGGTTGGTAGCTTCATCAGAACCCAGGCTCTTTAAAGATATTTCTCTTTCTCCAGCATTACCATTTAGTTCACCATAGCCTAGAGAGGGGGGAAAAAAGGTTCTGTTTTAAAATTACAAAATATAAATTACAGTACCACCTGACATTTAAAGACTATTTACTATGTGCTAGACACTATGCCATAAGCATTAACTTTACTATCTCTATTATTTCACAACTAAGAGAACACTTGTCAGCCCCATATTACAGATTAGAAGTCTGCCAAGCAAGAGACTGAATGAACCAGCTGGGATGCAAACCAACGTCTGAGGTCAGAAAGAACAAGACCTCTTAAGCAGTATGCCGTAGTATCTCTCATCTAACAGAATCAACTTTCCTACTGTTCTCACAAGGCTGTTATAAAATTTCCTTTACAATTAACAGCAGAGCTACCCTTTGGGCAAAAATCAAGTTATACTGATACAGTAACTGTATGTACTTCAGGGAAATTAAAGAATCCCTTTCTATGAAACCACAAATGGCTGCTGGTCACCACAAACAGTTAATACTGCATTCTGTTGAACAAAAATCTAACACTTATGAACTTTAATTAACTTGCCTAAGTCAGATAACTGGAAATGTGAACACCAGTCGGCCTGGAACACGGTTTTCTATCACTAAGTAATACTTCCAACACAAGTGATGTGGGTAATAATTACTAACAAAACTACAAGAAAAGGTATCTTATTTATTTATTTATTTATTTTTTTTAAATGTTTTATTTATTTCTAGGAGAGAGAGAGAGAGACAGCGTGAGCAGGGGAGGGTCAGAGAGAGAGGGAGTCACAGACTGAAACAGGCTCCAGGCTCTGAGCTGGCAGTCAGCACAGAGCCCGACGCGGGGCTCGAACCCACGAACCGCGAGATCATGACCCGAGCAAAAGTCAGACGCTTAACCAACTACGCCACCCGGGCGCCCCGAAAAGGTATCTAATTTAAAAACGGTTAACAGTGTTCAAGCTTAACTTAAGACCTTCAACTGCCATAAACAGTTTATCACTCTATATTATTCAATTGGTAACAACCATTCTCATTTCCCTAACAGCAAAAGAGATTATTAGTTATCTACCTTTTCATGAAATGTTCCCAAAAGCATTTTGAGGTCATTAGAAGCAGATAAATAGAAGGCGACACACACATTCATTTAAGGCGGCTTTCAGAAAGGTGTCCAATAATACCAAGTAATTTGCATTCACTTTCATTCATTCTTGTGGGCCTTTAGCCTATGAAGGCTAAAAGGCATGTGAGCTTGTATATTCTTGTTTCGAAATTTTGTTTTAATTCCCAATATGGTACAGATAGAACTCATAAAGGCTCTTTGTGCATTTTAAAAGCCTGAGAGATCTACGGGCACCTGGGTGGCTCAGTTGGTTTAGTGTCTGACTCTTGGTTTCAGCTCAGGTCATTATCTCACGATTTGTGAGTTGAAGCCCCAAGCTGGGATCTGCACCGACAGCGCTGAGCCTACACTGCTGATCCTACTTGGAATTCTCTCTTCCTCTCTCTGTTCCTCCCCCACTCATGCTTGCTCCCATGCGCACTCTTTCTCTCACTCTCAAAATAAATAAACTTACATTTAAAAAAGGGGGGGGAAGCATAAGGAATCTAAGATTTTTTTTAAGTTTCAGAATCACTGCTTTAACAGAATGTGATATGGAACAGGACATAATCTGGGAAGATTCACAACAAGATTTACTATAATTTTAAGGCACTCATTTTGTATCAAAGAAAGGACACTAAAAATGAAAAAATAAAGGCATTTTCTTCTACTGTATTAACTTTCAGAAAACAATTTAGGAAAATATACTTAAGGCATAATCATTCCTAAGTCTGAACCATAAAAAACCTGGACCATAAAATAATTTTGTTTCAAAATTTTTTTTAGAGAAGAGAGAGCCCGCTCAAGAGAGCAAGCAATCACATGGTGGAGAGGGGCAGGGGAAAGAGACCATCTTAAGCAGGCTCCTCCACCCAGTGTGGAGCCCCATGTGGGGCTTGATCCCACAACTCCTGAGATCAGGACCTGAGCTGAAATCGAGTCGGACACTCAACTGACTGAGTCACCCAGGCGCCCCTCCCCCCTCACAAAATATTTTTAAAGCTTATTTAGTTGGAGAGCGAGCGCGAGAGAGCAAAAGCGTGCACATGGCAGGGTTTGGGCAGACAGAGAATCCCAAGCAGGCTCCACACTATGTGGAGCCCCTGAGGCAGGTCTCAAACTCAGGAACCACCGAGATGATAATCTGAGCTGAAGTCAGACACTCCACCAACAGAGCCACCCAGGCGCCTCCCTACAAAATATATTTTGTTGAAGTTCTTAACTTCTGTAGAATTCTAATTTTATTTTATTTGGCTGCTGAAAGAGCTTTGATAGCCAATCAGGTCAAACTTTTAGTGGAAAAATTCTAACTATGAAACTACTGAAGAAAGAAACTACTAAAGAAGAAATCTCTGCTTCAGTAGGATGTTTTCTGAAAGACTCTTTTTTCTTTAGACAAGCAGCAAGTTCCTAAACGGGCTCTCAACATTAACATATACAAGTTTACCTGCATACAACTCTAGACCAAAAAGAAAACATATCATTTAACATGCTAACAGGCTAAACAAAGTTTTGTACTCTTGAGCCCACTAGTCAGAACTTTCTCAAAGGTAAGCGAACAGTCTTAAACACAAAAAAATTCAATGTCCAAACTAACTTGGACCAAAGCCAAGACTTAAGTGAACCAGAATATTTTTTTCCTAAAATTACTAGTATTTAGTGGCTCCACGGTGAGAAATCACCAATTTAATAACAGTTCAAAGCCACTATACTCCCAAGTTTTAATAACAAAACAACATTTTTTTCATTCAACTACTTAAAATTTTTTCCATGGCAACCTTGTTGGTATGCAAAAAGTGTACCAGAGACACTTTCTTTTCAAAACTTAGGTATTTAAGAAAAATGCAAACACCACAGAAATTACTGAGAAATCAAATGGCTCTTTGCACTTTTACTATTTAGGTTTGCCATGCTAAAGCATCTAACACAACTTCAAATGGACTATGCAAAACTTGAGCCCTGATAAACCTAGCTTTTGGATTAGAAACGGAAATTACCGAACACATTTGGCCCTCTCTTGCGCCCTCTTCTGGATAAAGAAAACAGGTTCCTCTTTATAGGTTTGTAGGTAATGGGTCATAAAAGCCCACTTCAACATAACAACAGATACATTTCAAAAATCCTCCTACGTTTTCTTAGTAAATCAGCATCATCTATGTTGAAGCAACAGTACTGTGACCAGGCCACACATAAAAAACTGTTCATCCCAAATTGTTTACATTCTCTCAAAATGGCTAAGCCCAGTGTCACCTCTTTATTCTCTTCCAGGATAAGACCTACTGATTTGAAGGACGCCACCTTGAACGGTTCAAGGACTGCTTCTGTACGTAAAGACGACTCCTGGCAAACAAAATAAAAATTTCCAATCTGAACAGTAATACTGTTTTATATTCCAAGTAACCATAACAAAGTAAGATTTTCTGGTCTCTAAGTTGAAAAAAGACCTAGGGATAAAAGATTTCGTGTTGTACACTTTCGAATAGTTTTTTAAACTGTTCCAAATCCGCTAAAATTAAATACCCAATATATTTACACGTTCACTGCCACTGTACACCACACCATCAGTCCCTACCGGCCCCCCCAAAAGTGGAAAATCTGACATTCCAATTTCAGTCTTTAAGTTAAAGCAATTTTCCTTCAGCTCTCAGTCACTGTATTAAATTCGATATGCTGGGTTTAACATCCATTTTCTTACCATTCCCTTCATTTCTCTTCAATTTATAAAGAACCTTCAATTTGTTAAAAAAAAAAAATCTGCCTGGTTACAAACTTTTAAGTTCATTTCTTCTCAGATGTTTCTCAAAATGACTTTCACCCTCCATTTCACGTTTGTGAAAACCGAGCATTTAGGGTTCGGTGTCGGTGCAAAAATAGGAAAACACCTTTCCTCTTAACATGGAAAAAGGCCTCGTCCGAGGCAAGATGGTAGTGAACCAACCTCATGGATGAGCCACCGCGGTTCTTCCTTAAGGACGAGAAATAGGGGTCAAAAAAACTCGCCCTCTCCCCGCATCCCCTCATTTTCCTAATCGCTCTCCTAGAAATCACCATTCAGGCCCAGAGGGTAGATGCTGGGGGGCTGGAGGGGGGCAGAACGAGCTTTTTTTCTTCGTAAAAACGAGCTGCTAGAAGGAAAGGGCCCGAGTGAAAGCCTGAGAGGCGGAGTCGTGAGCGAACCTGGCAGGAGACGAGGTTCCTGTGGCAGAGAAACTCGTGACCGGGGAGCCTGGTTCCCGCTGGGTACCCCACCCGGCCCTCAGGCACCGCCTCTACCCAAAATGTATCCCCCCCGTCCCCAACCCGGGCCCTCCTGCCCCACGGAGCGCCGCGGCCACCGCCCGCGGCCTCCTCCTCCCGCGGATCCACTTCGAGGCCGGCTCCCCGCCCGGACCGCCCGCGCCGCCCGCCGCACCGGGAGCGGGAAACGCGGCCGCCGGAGCGCGGGACCCGGTGCAAGCCGCTCCCCTCGTGGCGCTTCCCTCCCCCACCCCAACCGCCCCCGCCCCTCACCCCAGGGACCCGCCCGGGGCCGCGCGGCCGCCACCGGGTTACACAACCCGGCCGGCGACGGGGGGAGGGGCGGCCGCGGGCCGGGGGGCGACTGCGCCCCCGCAGTGCGGGGGTGGGGGGGGGCAGGCGACCGCCGGCTGGGATCCCGAGCCCCCCAGGTCCGCCGCGCCGAGCGCCCCGCGACACCCTTCCCCCTCCGCTCCTCAGTGGGCCGGAGTCGGTGACAGGAATCGGCTTCCAACATGGCGGACAGGAAGCGGCCCCGCGAGGAGGAGAGAACATTCCAGCCGCGCCGGCTCAGGGGGGAGCGGGCCCGGGGCGCCGGCCTCGGGACGAGCCGGGAGGGCGGACTGCGGGGTCCGGTGCCCAAAAGGGGCGTCTAGAGGTGGAAATGACCCGAGAGACGGGGGGTCCCGGCCACCCCCCCAGACGGGGAACCCCAAGGCCACAGGTGGGCTTGGGGTGGCGGGTGAGGGAGGACACTTCCTCAACTCTGCCCACCTACCCTCGCCTCGCCGCCTGCAAAAGGGTCTCGCGACACCATCCGAGTCGGGAGTAGCTAGGCCTTCCTGAGAAACACCCCGAAGGCCTTTTTTTAGGGGGGGGGGAAGCTATGTTCACCCCAACTCAGGGCCACCACGTTTAGGTTCCTCCAGGGCCTCACGAAGGTAAACGGGAAGGGGATAATGAAGCCAGACTTCCAAGGCCGACCCTCCGGGTCTCCCTCCGGCCCGGGCGGGGGCCGGGAAGGTCACACCGGCCTGGTTGGGCCTCTCCCATGCTGAGGGGAAGGAGAGGGCGCTGCACAGCCCGCGGCCCACCCCGGCCTTGGGAGAATGGAAGGGGGCTTCCCCAGACCCGCAGGGCGCGCACACACACAAACACACACACACGCACTCGGACCGCGTCCGCGCTTTCCAGATCCAGCCCCACCCCCATCTCCCCTACCCCCCACCTCCATTCCCCTTCCCCCACTCGTCCTCCCTCCCAGACCTGTTTTCTTCTTCGGCGTTTCCTGGTGCTGCTGGAGGGCGTGTTTCTGCTCATGTTTCAGCGCCTTAGGCTGGGCCTTGGGGCTGCCCTCGGCTCCATGCTGCAGGTACTGGTGAGGCTGCTGGTGATGGTGGTGGTGATGGTGGTTGTGGCTGTGGTTATAGAAATAATAATGGTGGTGGTGGTGCGGCAGCTGCTGCTGCTGCTGCTGCTGCTGCTGCTGCTGGGGGTGATGGTGCGGATGGTGGTGGCTGTGATGGTGCTGAGGCTGTGGCTGGCCGGGCTTCTCCTCCATTGAAAGCGGCTGGGACTCCCTGGCTGAGGCTGCGGGCTGCTGCACCGTCAGGATCTGAGACTGCTTCTCAGGGCACACTCAGTATATCTGAGCGCGTCTGGCCAGCGCACTGGTTAACCGAGCGATTCCGCGAGATTGGCAGCGACGCTCCAGCAATCAGGGGCCGCGCTGCGCCGCAGGCCCCGCCCCTAGCCCAAATCCTCTTTCCTTCCCCTTGGCCGCTGCCTCCCGGCCAACGCCACTTACCCTGTGCAACCTCACAGGGCCGGGCTTTCAACGTCAGCACTATGGCTCTCGCTTCGGTCGCTTTCTCTCCTTCACCGCGCAGTCTGCGAACAGCACTTTCTACACTCCTCGCCCGCAAGCAAACTTACGTCGAGTGTAGCAGATTCCACTGGCGAGTCCACTGGCTCTGGGAGTCCTCTGTTGGTTCTGCACCTCCTAGAATCTGTTGGCCTTTTTTTTTTTTTTTTACCCTTTTCCGGGTAACCAGAGGGGAAGCTCAGTTCCCTTAACCCCGAGACCACTACAGGGGCAATACAAAAAGAGGAAATAAATACATTTTTTAAAAAATAGAATACAAGAGCTTCACAATTCCGTAGATTATTTTGTATTCTGGATTCATTTTGCTTTGTATTCATATGCTAATCTCTTCCTTTCCACGAAGGGATTATAGGGTTCCACAATGGGGTATCTGTGTAATTTTCTAAAAGGGCACAAAGGGTTTAAATCATTGTTTCTTTGTAGTTGGAGGCAAGGGAGAGCGGGAGGAATGAAAATCTAAAATCTACAGTGAAGTAGTTTTGTTGTTTTTAACTCTATAGGTGAGGTCAACTGTAGAACCAAGATAAGTTTTAGAATATGTAGTTTCAAGAGGGAAAGACAGGGGAAAGGGCACTTTGAAAGTTACTAAGTTAAGAAAACTTGCACTTATGGAAAATATTGGCATAAAAAAAATACTCTGGCTTTGGGGATGTGGATTTAATTTATCCTGCATTATCACATCACAGCCTGATTTTTAAAAAGCAAATGTGAGTCTGGAACATTGTCACAGTGATTACTCAGAAAGGAAGACAAAGGTTTTGTCGGGGAGGGGCACACGGGTACCCCAAGTAATATTTTATTTGTTGACCTGGATGGTGATGATACATATATTTGCTTTATAATTATTTCTTAAAGTGAACATGTGTATACGTATAATACACGATTCTCAGGGTATGTTCTTTGACAGAATTTTTTAAATTTAGCATAAAATGTATATCACTTACACTGATACTTTTTAAGTTCAGTGACAATAGGTATATTCACATTGTGGTGCCACCGTCACCACGGTCTGTCACCAGAACTTTTCCAACATCCCAAACTGAAACTCTGCACCCATTAAACAAATCTCCCTTCTCCTCTCCCCCACCCCCTTTTAACCAATATTTTATTTTCTATGTCTGTGATACCTCACACAGGTGGAACCATACAATATTTATCCTCTTGTGTCTGGCTTATTTCAGTTAACATGTCTTTTGAGGTTCACCCCTGATGTGATATGAATCAAATTTTCCTTCCTTTTTAATGCTGAATGATACCCCATTGTATGTATGTGCCACATTTTGTTTATCCATTCATTTGGCAATGGATAGTTTCCTCCATATATTGTTTACAGTTTAAATGTAATTTTTTTTTTAATGTTTTATTTATTTCTAGGAGAGAGAGAGAGAGAGAGAGACAGCGTGAGCAGGGGAGGGTCAGAGAGAGAGGGAGTCACAGACTGAAACAGGCTCCAGGCTCTGAGCTGGCAGTCAGCACAGAGCCCGACGCGGGGCTCGAACCCACGAACCGCGAGATCATGACCTAAGCGAAAGTCGGACGCTTAACCGACTAAGCCACCCAGGCGCCCCTATTGTTTACAGTTTAAAAATGTGGCCTGAGGGGCACCTGGCTGGCTTAGTCAGTGGAGCATGCAACTCTTGATCTTGATGTTGTGAGTTCGAACCCCATGTTGGGTGTGGAAATTACTTAAAATATATAAATAATGGGGCACCTGGGTGGCCCAGATGGCTAAGCATCTGACTTGGGCTTAGGTCCTGGACTCACAACTGAGCTCAACAGCACTGAGTCGGGCTCTGTGCTAACAGCCTGGAGCCTGCTTTGGATTCTGTGTCTCCATCTCTCTCTGCCTCTCCACCCTTCGTGCTCTGCCTCTCTCTTTCTCTCAAAAATAAATAAACATTAAAATATAGGTAAATAGTGACTTAATTTCCCATAGCAGGACAGTATTAAAGGAGTAAAGAGGGGCACTTGCGTGACCCAGTCGGTTAAGTGGCCGACTTCAGCTCAGGTCTTGATTTCACATTCCTAGGTTCTAGCCCTGCACTGGGCTCTGTGCTGACAGCTCAGAGACTGGAGCCTGCTTCGGATTCTGTGTTCCCCTCTCATTGCCCCTCCCCCGCTTGCGTGTGCTCATGCGCGCTCTCTGTCTCAGAAATAAACCAAAAAAAATTTTTTTAATTAAAAAACAAAACAAAACGGGGGTGCCTGGGTGGCTCAGTCGGTTGAGCGTCCGACTTTGGCTCAGGCCATGATCTCACGGTTGGTGGGTTCGAGCCCCGCTTCAGGCTCTGTGCTGACAGCTAGCTCAGAGCCTGGAGCCTCTTTCAGATTCTTTGTCTCCCTCTTTCTCTGACCCTCCCTGCTCTCTCTCTCTCTCTCTCTCTCTCTCTGAGAAATAAATAAAAGACATTAAAAATTTTTCATAAAGGAATAGAGAAGCTTTAAAGGAAAAACTTGTACTCTGAAATTAATGAATGTCAACACAAAAAGCATAATTAAAAGGTAAAAAAAAAAAAAAAAAGCCTTTTTACAGCAGCATATGTCATTGAATCCAGACAACCATGGCCAGCTCTTGACTTGTTCTTTACAGTGCGGATTGGCTTTGCCTTGCTAAATTTTGAAGAAACACCCCTTTGGGGTGTGGTGGGGAGTACATTTACCCAATTTTGAAACATAAAACCCCAATACTAACATCGTAACAAGTAAATCTTTGCCATTGAGTAATATTCCATCACTTTCTCATCTATTAAAGAAGAAATAAAAGTGTATACAGAAGGTAGAATTATGTTGATAGGGCTTTATATTCTTTTGCTGACCTAGATATTTAGTTGGAAGGCCAGAATTCCTGAGTTCTAACTTCTCTTTCTACATTTTCTACATCATAGTTGCAGGCAAACCAAAAGCACTTATTCTGACTTATCATACCTTAGCCTGACTTACTTTCTTCACATACAGTCGTATGAATTTTTGAAAATTAAGTCCTGCTTTCAGGTGCTTTAGTTACTATGAATGTTACCTTTGTAGCATGTAGTAGTATGAAGAAAGGCTTGTGATATAATGTAAGGAAAAATGCATAATATTAAATTCTATGTGTGCTAGCATCATAACCTTATAAAAACATTAATATTTTAAAATAAGTATGGAAGGGGCACCCAAGTGGCTCAGTCGGTTGAGCGTCTGACTTCAGCCCAGGTCATATCTCAAGGTTTGGTTCGTGAGTTCAAGCCCCACATCTGGCCCACTGCTGTCAGTGCAGAGTCTGCTTGGGATCCTCTATCCCCCTCTCTCACTGCCCCTCCCCTGCTTACACTTTCTCTCTCAAAAATAAATAAACATTAACAAAAATAAAGTATGGAAATACAACAGTAAAGTATGTACTTTCTCTTCCACCTGATCTTTCTCAAAGTTTTATGTGAAATATAGTTGAGATTTGCTATGTATTTGAAAACAATAGTGCCATAATATCAAATCTCTGTGAAAAGAGAATAATTGGGGGGGTGCCTGGATGGCTCAGTCAGTTGAGCATCTGACTCTTGATTTTGGATCAGGTCATGATCCCAGGGTGGTGGGATCAAGCCCCATGTCAGAATCTGCACGAAGCATGGAGCCTGCTTAAGATTCTCTCTTTCTCTCCCTCTACCCCTCTTCCCAGCTAACTCTCTCTCTCTCTTTAAAATAAAATTTTTAAAAAAGAATAATCAGGTATCCTTAATTCAAGCATCTTTAAAATAATGTAGCATCTACATTAAGGAAAAAAACAATAACAAAATATAACAAGTCTGGTAAAATTATGGATGCTTTTTTTTCCTTTTCTCTATTTTCCAAATGTTCTGTTATGTAGTTATTACTTTTCATAGTAACATTATTTTTATTTATTTTTTTAATGTTTATTCATTTTTGAGGGAGAGAGAGAGAGAGAGATAGGGCATGTGTGGTGGAAGGACAAAGAGAGAGGGAAAGAGAAAATCCAAAGCAAGCTCCATGCTGATGCATGGAGCCTGATGTAGGGCTCAGTCTCAGGAACTGTAATATCATGACCTAAAACAAAATCAACAGTCAGATGCTTAACTGACTGAGTCACTCGGGCGCCCCAATTAGGCACTTTTTAGGTATCAGGTATTATGCTTTTTGTTACTTGGGTGTTGTTTGCTTTGTTTTGTTTCATTTTGCTTTCTTTAAATGTTCATTTATTTATTTTGAGATAGAAAGAGAGTGAGCCAGAGGTGGGGTGGGCGTGGGGGCGGGGCAGAGACAGAAGGAGAGAGAGAGAGAATCCCAAGCCCCCATGTGGGGCTCCACGTCAGGTATGATGAGATCATGACCCGAGCCAAAATCAAGAGTTGGATGCTTAATCAAGTGAGCCACCCACGTGCCCTTCATGTGTTTTTTAAAGTTTATTTATTCATATATTTAACTAATATTTGCACCCAATGTGGGGCTCGAACTCATGATCCCCAAGATCAAAAGCCGCACGCTCCTCCGACTGAGCCAGCCAGGTGCCCCTTGTTTTGTATTTTAAATCCAATTCTCTTATTGACACAGTTTTGCATCTTGGTTAAATATATTTGCAAGCCTGTCTTTATTATCAAATGGAAATCTCTTTTTACACACCTTTAATCTTACATTTTGTGTACTATGACAACTTAAGAGATACAGAAATATTTACCTCTCTGGACCTCAGTTTTTTTCCTCTCTAAATTATGGAGAATGGGCAAAGAGGCCTCCAAATTTCTTCCCACTCTAACATGTCATGATCATATCTCTTTCT